TATGTGTGTGTGTATTTAAAAAATGATTTTGTACGAGCACTAGAATATCGATTATTTTTCTAGTGGAAATATAAAAAAAACTTTCTCTATTAATTTCAATGAAATTTTCTCACTTTTCACATTTCTATTCTAGGAAAAAAATAATATGATTAAATTATGCCTTGTCTAAAGATAAGAAATATAATAAAGATTTATAAAAAAATTATTTAAAAACATATCAAAAATTGGTAAATAAAAATTAGGGACAGCAGAATCTCTTTTGCACAAAATTGTGCTTTTATGTGTCAACAACACCTCTATATATTATGGTATAAACACGAAGAAATACGAAAGATCGGAAAAGCTTTTTTAATTATATTCGTAGTTTTATCAAGCTCATACTGAAAGATTTTCTTTTTAAATGTTTATTTACGATCTCATCTTAGATACCGCCATCAGAGAAGATCGCCTCCGACACATACAACTGCTCGCTTGGACCACCATGGGTGAACGTCAGTCTCGCGAAGATGTACAAGAATGAGAAAAAGCTGCTATATCCGGTGAACGTGGGCCGTAACATAGCGCGCGAGTCCGCACCCACCTTCTATGTGTTCCCCAGCGACATCGAACTGTATCCCAGCCCAAACCTGCCCGACAAGTTCCTCGAGATGATTCGCAAACGAGATCAGCCGGCTCTCCACAAGCCCAATCCCAAGGTCTTTGTGTTGTCCATCTTTGAAGTGGACGAGAAGAGCCAACCACCTAATAATAAGACGCGTCTGGTACGTTCGCCACTCGCGAATCAATTGCCGATCCGCATATAATCGGGATCCGTTGGGGGTCATTAAGCACGCGCGAAAGAGAGTGCGACGAGGTCGACGATATGTCCGTCTGTCGTGTTGTTAATAGCGCGGACGCGAGGGTCGACGGCGAATCAATGGAGCTTCCTTTGACCGTGGACCTTGATATAGAATTAGCGTCGCTATTGTCCGGTTGCCGTGCGTACCACACGGCATGGCACGGCACAATATACTTTTTGTCGCGTCAGAATTCAGAACTAGCACAGCAGCGAACTAGCAACAGAGCGATTGTAATCTCGACGCACGCATATATGATTTGTCTGCGTAACATTTATTCTTTTATTTTTTTTTCCAAATGTATGTAAGTGAATGATGAGTTGGAGGTCGAAATGTCACATACAGATCTGATACATTCATTGATTGATTTTTAACTTCATGAAACACTCGTGATCTAGAATATTTTCCAGGACGGAAACAGATCTGTTTTGCGCATTTTGAATATTTCACAAAACTCCGTTTCGAAGAATCATGTAAATTTACAGATACAGATGCTGAAAGCAGGCACCGCCATACCCTTTCATAAGAAATTATGCTCCGGCTGCCATAATGTGCCGAAGAGCAAGGAATGGCAGGAAACGCCAGAGACGGAGAACCTGCACGTGTTTCATGTTGGCAAGAGAACTGGTAGTTTCGTACACTGGGAGCCGATCTTCATCGGGACCAATAACGATCCTTTTTACGATGAAAGACTTAGTTGGGAGGGAAAGAGTGATAAAATGACACAGGTAAACTTACACAAAATATTCAGAATAAAAATGCGACGTAATAAATAAAAAATGTTATTATCTTAAAACAGTGTATTATTTAAGAAGATA